CAGTATATGGGGGGGTGCGCTGTATATTGGGGGGTCTGTGAAGTATATTGGGGCGGCCTGTGTGTTAGATGTGGGGGCAGTGTGTTAGATGAAGGGGCTGTTCGTTACATGTGGGTGGGGCAGTGCGTTCGATGGGGCGCAACACACTACGTGCGACCTGTGTGTTAGATGTGTACAACCCTAGTTTCACAGAAAAATATTTATTTCATAGATATCATATGCCATGGCATGCTTTTGCTATGAAACCGCAGCCATCTAGTCACTCGCCAGAGAAGGATGAGAAACTGCACCCCAGCGAGAGGGACTGCCCCTCATCTGCAACCAAATCCGTCAGTCACCGGATTCAATAATCTCCGTCTCTTTGTGCATTGTGTATGTATGGTACTCCCGATTCTTATATTTAATCCGGTGTGTCTCCCACAATCTTTGTGTCTGTCTGCTGTATGTATGTGGCACGCAAGTCTGCATGCACTGTGTCTGTTATGCCAGTTACTCTAACCAGTTTATTTCTTTTTGTGTGTGTCACAGCTCTGACAAGCATGTTCTCCTAGGGGACACGAAGTACATGAAGAGGAATGAAGAAGCCCATGTTTGATGCTCGTCTCCAGGGTGGAGTATTTTGAATTTATAAGTAATGAAGTGGCATCTGACACATGACAAGCTGCTCCTGTTTGCACAGCAACTTCAACATTGTGTACTGTGATCACTGTCTAGTTCAGAGGTAGGTAACCTTGGGCAGTCCAGATGCTGTGAATTACATCTCCCATAATGCTGGCAAACCATTATGGGAGGTGTAGTCCAAAACATCTTGGATACCGAATGCGTATGAATGAAACGTATGGTGTGTGTGAATGGTCAGTAACAAGGGTTGAAGCCTTGACGTGGCGTTACTGCTCACATGTGTATTCATGTGCCAATTCAACCAATGTGAGTCACTGTAATACTTATAAGGTAACCAAAAGTACTGTGATTGTGGAGAATGAAACGCCTGTATCACCTACACACTGTTTACACTGTGACCGTATCTCCTATATACTGCTTACACTGTGACCGTATCTCCTAAACACTGCTTACAATGACCGTATCTCCTAAACACTGCTTACACTGTGACCATATCCCATAAACACTGCTTACACTGTGACCGTATCTCCTAAACACTGCTCACACTGTGACCGTATCTCCTAAACACTGCTTACACTGACCGTATCTCCTAAACACTGCTTACATTGACCATATCCCCTAAACACTGCTTACACTGTGACCGTATCCCATAAACACTGCTCACACTGTGACCGTATCTCCTAAACACTGCTCACACTGTGACCGTATCTCCTAAACACTGCTGACACTGTGACCCTATCGCCTATACACTGCTTACACGGTGACCGTATCTCCTAAACACTGCTCATACTGTGACCCTATCGCCTATACACTGCTTACACTGTGACCGTATCTCCTATACACTGCTTACATTGTGACCGTATCTCCTAAACACTGCTTACACTGTGACCGTATCTCCTAAACACTGCTCACACTGTGACCGTATCTCCTAAACACTGCTGACACTGTGACCCTATTGCCTATACACTGCTTACACTGTGACCCTATCATCTAAACACTGCTCACACTGTGACCCTATCGCCTATACACTGCTTACACTGTGACCCTATCACCTAAACACTGCTTACACTGTGACACTATCGCCTATACACTGCTTACACTCTGGTCCTATCACCTAAACACTGCTTACACTGTAAGCACAGACATGCTTTTATTCAAAATTGAAAGCGCTCGATCATTCTTTCTATTCTACGCCTCCAATCTTCAACATTGAAATTGTAATTTCTAATAATATAAAATAAGTATTATGCTTTCTGGTTACGATTTGGCGAGTTGTAACTATATTTTTTATTTTTACAGTTCCAGAGGGAAGGAGCAAACCGCTTTGAGGAGTCCCTGCATAAGAGACTATTGGATACTGAAGGGCTGTACTGCAGTGTCGGCTCTAGACTTGGCGAGGCCTTAGGTGAAACTCATACATGAGACCCCACGGAGAACACCATTATTGAAGAAAAAATAGCAGTTGACTTTGTGTATAAGAAGCTGTAGATATATTGATGGTGGAGCTCAGTGGTGTGTCCTGGTTTTGTGCTGCCCTAGGCAGGACAATACTCAGGCGTCCCCTTTGGGGGGGTGACGGCGAGTAAAGGGGTAACTGTGGCAGGGTGAGTGTAAAAGAGCAGGAGGGTGCCTGCGTGTTGAGGGTTGACGGTGTGCATGGAGGGAGGTGCCAGAGTGCGGAGAGTGGTGGCCGTGTGGGGAGGGTGACATAGTGTGAGAGGGAGGGTGATGAGGTGAGGGGTGAATGACAGAGTAAGAGGGGGGTGACGTAATGTGAGAGTATGGGTGACAGAGTAAGGGTGGGTGACATAGTGTGAGGAGGATGACAGAGTGAGGGGGTGATGGTGGGGTGACAGGGTGAGGGGGGTGACAGGGGGATGACAGAGTAAGAGGAGGGTGACAATAACAACATCTGATATTAGGCCACATGTGCAATTATTATGTAATTAATGGACAACATACTTTTTCAATTTCGTTAAATTAGAAATTAAATATTGTTTGACTTTTTTATATTGCCACTTTAAAAAAAATTAAAACTCTTAATTTTTAAATGTACAGTAATTTGTCTGAAATAATGTTAACTTGTTAATTATTGTGGGACAGTGGAGAGCAAACCCAAACTGGGACTCTACTAAACAATCCAGGACTGTTAGGAAATATGGCTTTGTAACAACATATGATAATTTATGGTGCATATAGGTCCTCGTGTCACTGTGCCTATGCATAGTTTTGCTTATAAATGTGATGACTTTCAAAAGATAGCAATAAGCATAGTAAGAAGTTGCTCTTTAAAAGCTTACGTCATCTCGTTTAAATGGTTTGGGTGCAGTGCCAATGTCCCCTTAATCTTGCAATGTTAAATATCGCAGTTTCTGATAAACTACAATGGAACGCAGCTAGTGATGGTATTATTTGTAGCTAAGTAACACAAATCGCATGTTAAGGTGTCAGCAAAATACTTTATTTCTTCAAAGTTAATATGCATTTTAGACTTTATATGTATAGTGGAAAAAATATAAAAGTCAAATTTGGAAACTGGTTAAGAAAAGTCACACTGTGGTATCCAAGAAGGAGAAAGTTCAATCACATGTAAAGAAAGGCTGTATGGCATTAGGAAGGTAGTATCTTAATAATATAATGGTCTCTTTCCCTGGACGGTCCACGATTCTTAATCACTGGAAAATGAAGGTTACATCATGTCTGCAGCATGTGTTCCGAAACAGCCATAAGGACGTTTTCTATAGAAGAAGGTAATCTCTTCTGTTTGAGCAGGTCGAGGTTAATGGTGGTGGGGTTGTCTCTGGCACTGGAACCATCAGTAGAGGAGTGTAAAATTGAGAGGATCACCTTGTTCTTCCCACAAATGTAAGAGAACACAGAACAGAAGATTGAGGAGAGTGGTTAACAAATCAATGAAACCGCAAACACTAAAACAAACTTGAAAAAAATAACATTCACAGTGTAAGCAGTGTATAGGCGCTAGGGTCACAGTGTGAGCAGTGTATAGGAGATACGGTCACAGTGTGAGCAGTGTATAGGAGATACGGTCACAGTGTGAGCAGTGTATAGGAGATACGGTCACAGTGTTAGCAGTGTATAGGAGATACGGTCACAGTGTTAGCAGTGTATAGGAGATACGGTCACAGTGTTAGCAGTGTATAGGAGATACGGTCACAGTGTAAGCAGTGTTTAGGCGATTGGGTCACAGTGTAAGCAGTGTTTAGGCGATTGGGTCACAGTGTAAGCAGTGTTTAGGCGATTGGGTCACAGTGTGAGCAGTGTGTAGGAGATACGGTCACAGTGTGAGCAGTGTTTAGGAGATACGGTTACAGTGTAAGCAGTGTTTAGGCGATACGCTCACAGTGTAAACAGTGTATAGGCGATAGGGTCACAGTGTAAGCAGTGTATAGGAGATACGGTCACAGTGTGAGCAGTGTTTAGGAGATACGGTTACAGTGTAAGCAGTGTTTAGGCGATAGGGTCACAGTGTAAGCAGTGTTTAGGCGATTGGGTCACAGTGTAAGCAGTGTTTAGGCGATTGGGTCACAGTGTAAGCAGTGTTTAGGCGATTGGGTCACAGTGTAAGCAGTGTTTAGGCGATTGGGTCACAGTGTAAGCAGTGTTTAGGCGATTGGGTCACAGTGTAAGCAGTGTTTAGGCGATTGGGTCACAGTGTAAGCAGTGTTTAGGCGATTGGGTCACAGTGTAAGCAGTGTTTAGGAGATACGCTCACAGTGTAAACAGTGTATAGGCGATAGGGTCACAGTGTAAGCAGTGTATAGGAGATACGGTCACAGTGTAAGCAGTGTTTAGGAGATACGGTCACAGTGTAAGCAGTGTATAGGCGATAGGGTCACAGTGTAAGCAGTGTATAGGAGATACGGTCACAGTGTCAGCAGTGTATAGGAGATACGGTTACAGTGTCAGCAGTGTATAGGAGATACGGTCACAGTGTAAGCAGTGTGTAGGAGATACGGTCACAGTGTAAACAGTCTGTAGGTGATACAGGCGTTTCATTCTCCACAATCACAGTACTTTTGGTTACCTTATAAGTATTACAGTGACTCACATTGGTTGAATTGGCACATGAATACACATGTGAGCAGTAACGCCACGTCAAGGCTTCAACCCTTGTTACTGACCATTCACACACACCATACTTTGCATTCATCCTCATTCGGTATTCCAGATGTTGTGCACTACACCTCCCATAATGGTTTACCAGCATTATGGGAGACGTAATTCACAGCATCTGGACTGCCCAAGGTTACCTACCTCTGAACTATGCCGTGATCACAGAACACAATGTTGAAGTTGCTGTGCAAACAGGAGCAGCTTATCATGTGTCAGATGCCACTTCATTAGTTATAAATTCAATACTCCACCCTGGAGACGAGCATCAAACATGGGCTTCTTCATTCCTCTTCATGTACTTCGTATCCCATAGGAGAACATGCTTGTCAGAGCTGTGACACACACAAAAAGAAATAAACTGGTTAGAGTAACTGGCATAACAGACACAGTGCGTGCAGACTTGCGTGCCACATACATACAGCAGACAGACACACCGGATTAAATATAAGAATTGGGAGTACCATACATACACAATGCACAAAGAGACGGAGATTACTGAATTTGGTGACCGACGGATTTGGTTGCAGATGTGGGGCTGTCCCTCTCGCTGGGGTGCAGTTTCTCATCCTTCTCTGGCGAGTGACTAGATGGCTGCGGTTTCATAGCAAAAAGCATGCCATGGCATATGATATCTATGAAATAAATATTTTTCTGTGAAACTAGGGTTGTACACATCTAACACACAGGTCGCACGTAGTGTGTTGCGCCCCATCGAACGCACTGCCCCACCCACATGTAACGAACAGCCCCTTCATCTAACACACTGCCCCCACATCTAACACACAGGCCACCCCAATATACTTCACAGACCCCCCAATATACTGTGCAGCCCCCATATACAGCGCAGACCCCCATATACTGCGCAGACCCCCCCATATACAGACAGCCCCCCAATATACCGCTATATCCTAATATACAGACAGCACCCCATATACTGCGCAGACCCTCGAATATACTGCGCAGGCCCCCCCATATACAGACAGACCCCCATATACAGACAGCCCCCCAATATACTGCACAGACCCCCCCAATATACAGAAAGCCCCCCATATACTGCGCAGACCCCCCAATATACTGTGCAGATCCCCCCATATACAGACAGCCCCCCATATACTGTAGTAGACCCCCATATACAGACAAGTCTCCAGTATATACTGTGCAGACCCTCCCATATACAGACAGCCCCCATATACTGTGCAGACTTCCATATACTGCGAGACCCCCATATATAGCTTAGACCATATATAATGCAGACCATATACAGAGACAGCCCCCATATACTCGGCGCAGACCCCCAATATACCAAGAGACCCCCATATACTGTGCACCCCCCATATACAGACAGCTCCCCCATATACTGTGCAGACCTCCCATATTTAGCTAGACCCCCATATATACTGCGAGACTCCCCATATACTGCGCAGACCCCCTATACTGCAGACCCCCATATAAAGACAATTCCCCATATACTACAAGAGACTTCCAATATACTCATGCAGACCCCCATATACTGCAGTGCAGACCCCCATATACAGACACAGCCTTCCCCAATATACTATGCGAGACCCCCATACAGACACAGCCCCCAATATACTGCAGACCCCCATATGTTTATCAGCCCCCAATATACCGCCGCTTAGACCCCCCTATACAGACAGCTCCCCCAATATACTGCGACCCCCATATTGCAGACAGCCCCCAATATACCAAGCAGACCCCCATATACAGACAGCCCCTAATATACCGCTGGTGACCCCCATATACAGACAGCTCCCCAATATACCGCGCAGACCCCCCCATATGCCAGACAGCAATATACTGCGAGACCCCACAATAATGTACAGACCCCCAGTACTGACACAGATACCCCCCAATACTGGACAGACCCCCAATAAGGCACAGACCCCCCTGATGGCTGAGTGTGTTGGGAGCAAGGCTTACCTGATGGATGTCTGGATGCAGTGGATCAGACACCGCGCATGCGCACTCAGGGGTAGGAGATTTCTTAGCAGAAGATATGGCCATCAGATTTCTATACCCCCTCAGTGCGCATGCGCGGTGTCCGTGGCTGGCCTGGCTGGGTAGGCGCGTGCGCAGTGTGGGGCAGGGAGATCGGATGAATGTTCGGCTGAATCGATCTCCCTGCCCGCTGGTGCGCACGCGCGGTGTATCCCGCTGTCTGTGCCTGACGGGAGTACTTAGCCGCGCGTGCGCACTGGCCCCTACCTCCCCCGCCTCTTGTCTCCAGGCGCAGGCGCAGTGTTGTGTTCGCGCATGTGCATTAGGCGGCCTCCTCTCCTCACCGCCTGTAAATTTTACCTACCTGATCTTCTGCGCATGCGCGGCGCTGCGCTCCTCCTCCTCCAGCTGGTAAACGAAATTACCGGTGCGGCCGAGTCATTTCCGGTGCGGCCGCGTCACTTCCGGTATACCAAACTGACAAGGTATATTAATCTGACGGAACACCGGGACAATACACACAGTTGACCAATGACAATATACTGTATCGTTTGAAATAGTCCCTGCCCCGCTTGGAGATAATGATTCCAACGGTTATGGCAATTCAGTTATCTCCAAGTGCCCAGAGTCCCACGTGTATTTCCAACATGTAAAAACAGCATAAAATATATATTCATAACAGTTTACTAAATACCCCTTACATTCTACCATTCATTAGATAGCTCAGGTCTGAGCGCATCATATAGACGAATAGCGCTCAGACCTCACGAACGGTATAGCCCAGGGCCGGACTGGGAATTAAAAGCAGCCCTGGAAAAAAAATATTTACCAGCCCCATAATGCATCGCGCCAGCATAGTGTGCAGATACAGAGTTAGAACAGATAACTTAAAATTAAAAAGTACTTCAACGTAAAAAGCGCACTCATAGGCTTCAAAATAAACAAAAGTGCAGATTTATTTTAAGCAGACGTGCCTTTGCATGTAATCAATGTTTCAGTCCAACTACCTTGACATATTAAGGAAAGCTTGTTAATGGGACTGAAATGGTGAATGTATGTAGGGCACAACTGAATTTTTTTTATTTTGAAGTCCTGTGGGTGTGCTCTTCACTTTAAATATGTTATTGTGCTGGAGTATGCACCTAGCAACAAGACTGGGCCAATATCTGCTCATTACATATGGTACATATTAATGAAATTTCTCTGTGTATTATGCATTTATAAATGTACATTAATATTGTGGCAAACCTAGCCACTTGGACTATAACTGGACACTATGCCTTTAAGGGTTGCCTATAGGTCTGGAGAGATATGCGTTTTAACCTGTATGTGTCTGCTTCATGTATTCCCTGCATTACCTGTAATTATCTGTTCCGCCGAATGCAAATGGCGGTTTGTATGGGGATTCCCTTTCGTTTCACGAACGGCACTTTGGAGGGCCGTTCGTGAACCGAACGCAAAGACCCATAATAGCCCACACACTTAGAGGCGTGTGGCGCTAGTTAACCGATTGCAACAATGTTGCAATCGGTAATTAGAGGCTCTCCTGGGTGGCCGTCGTTCGACTACCGACCATGCGGCGGTCGGCCATCTTGGATCCTTTGTTCCCTCAGCGGGGTTATGTCGTCTAGCGTCTGGTACTAAAAACGGCTACTCGACGGCACGAGCCCCGCTGAGCCTCCAGGGCGTTCGGGAGTTTCGGGACATTCGGTATTTTGTTCCCTACAAGCAATCGGTTCTTTTCATATGTTTTATACGAATTGTGTTTTTCGTGCGGCGTTCGGTTATTTTAGCTGGGATCTGGTAATCTCACGAATGATGCGCTCAGACCCCAGCTATCTACCGAACGTCCATTCGTGTAAATCCACTGTATATTCCCCAAGTTATGGATTTTTGTGTGAATTGTCGGTTCTGCTGCACGAGGGGATAATCCACTTAACGGTGCATTCTGGGAAGATGATCCCTCTCGTGCAGCGGTGCCTGATGGGAGAAATATGCTGTAATGTAAGTCCCCCATGCAGTCCCCTCTGGGAGTGGCCCTGGGGAGGGACTCAGGAAACCCCTTGCATGGGGACTTGTATAAATTGTCCTGCCGATTAAAAGGTTGTCAGTTGACTCTCAGAACTGTGTCTCGTCCGGTTACTGGGAGGTTGGGGATATTGCCTTATGGTTTTCAGCGCTTGACTGTGGATTCGTTTCTGAACCAGCGGATTCGTGGATTTATAATTGGCGTTCCGCTACAAATATGTGTAAATATAATAGAGATATATATATATATATATATATATAAAAACTAATACACACATTAATATACATGTCATATACTAATGGCGGATCCAGAGCCTGAGCCTGAGCCTGAGAGGGGCACTTGTAGATTATTTAAAGAAATATTCCATGCACAATAACCACTACTCCTCTGTGTAGTGGTTATGGTGCCAGGAGTGTCGGCACCCCCTTCCAGAGTAAGTAGTCAAACCGTTTAAGAACAGTTTGACAACTTACCTGGAGTCTACTGGGATATGGGGCTGTAGTAGGGTATAGGAGCAGTGGTGCAATGTGTGTGAAAGGTTCAGTGTGTGGGTGGGCAGTGTGTAAATGTGTATGGTGTGTGTGTGTGTGGGCAGTGTGTGAATGTGTATGGTGTGTGTGTGGGGCAGTGTGTGTATGGGGCTAGAGTTCACTCCTACTACTGGGACCACCAGGAAGTGGTGAGAGTGAACTCTAGCCCGTAGCTCCAGGGCTAGAGTTCACCCTCGTGAGAGCCGGAGCGTTGCCCCAGGTCCTCTCTTCCTCCCCTGCCGACTGGCAGAGGGCACTTGCACTGCGGTAAAGATGGGGCTGGGCAGGAGGAGAGTGCAGTGCAATCAGTGCGCTCCCCTCCTGTGGGTCACCAGTAGACTGGTGCACCTGCCCAGGATCAGAGCCGATTTTTGCCGCCCTAGACAAAATAAAAATTTGCTGCCCCCCCATGTGACATCACAATGCCCCACCCATATGAACTAACGCCAGTGCTGCACACAGTGTGTGTTTACATTAAAAAGGCTGCAGGGACCAGCTATAGACACCAGAACCACTTCTTTAAGCTATAGTGTCCCTTTAATGTGAGGTACATTATAGATTAGTGTCACTAATAATATACTAGATTGCCTACTTACAAGCAGATGAGGATGATGATGGGCTGCAGTTTGGCTCCACTGGTCTGGTGTAAAACAGGATCTCTGGAGGCTGTTTGCAGCTGTGGTCACAAAATTCAATGTTCTGGGAGAATTGGAAGCAGCTCCATTTTTTGGGGCCCCTTACACAGCTCAAGGTCTGGGCCCCAGGGCCTGACGGTGAGTATGCCCATAAGGCCCACTCATAAGTTCCACCCACCCATGAGTTCGCTCACAGGGAGTGGAGTGTGTAGGGGATGTGTTATGTGTTGTTGTAGAGGATCTAATATGTGTGCTTATGGTATGTAGTGTTTAGGGTTACCAGTTTGTGCAGGTGATGCAGTGTGTTTGTGTGTAGTGGAAGCAGTGTGTATTTGTGTATAAGGGATGTATTATGTGTTTCTGGTTGTGTGTAAGGGATGCATTGTGTGAATCTGTTTGTATGCATAAGGGATGCAAGGTATGTGTCTGTATGTGTGTGCATTGAGTGTAAGAGATGCATTGTGTTTCTGTGTGTATGTAAGAAAAGAAGTGTGTGTTTGCATGTGTGTGTACGGGTTTGCATTGTCTGTTTCTGTG